TAATAAGACAAGCGCAGACGGAATATGAAAAATAAATCCGAAATCGCGGGGGATGCTTTTGGATGTTGAATAGCCAAAGATCAGTTTTAAAAACGTTTTAAAATAATTTTGAATTAATTCGTTCAGACTAAAAAAAACAAGTTAAAAAGAATCGGCCATCACTAGGACCGACCCCATATAGCCATGATCTGCACGTCTGGGAGATGTCCCATGTTTGCTGGGACACCACTTGTGCGTGCAGAATAATGTGCTTGTAGCGAGATCACACGTAACATATTGGAATTTACCCAGAAATAGCAAATGCTATTTTGCGATTGGCTGGTAGATGGCAATTAACTCTGTATAACTTGGGACAGTTATAAACTCGGCGGAAACTCCACCCTGTATACAGTACCTGCGCCTCGTCCTATAAAACGGGACACCTTGGTACAGTATGAAACACAAGGTATGGCATGTAAACTGGGTGAGATGCGTGCGTCTCGCGGCTTGGTAAACGTCAGATACTCACCTACCAAACTAAAAGTTTTCAAATTAACAAACAAGTGTCAAAGTTTAAAAGGCACACTGTTTTTTTGGGGGGGGGGGGGAGTCCGAATCACTGCTTCACTTTTAAAATGACGGTTTGCATATCTTCGCTGATTTAAGTAAAATAATATTTCCGGTGGGATAATCGGATCATAATGGGATGCTGTGTGGCATAAAGCAGAGCAGGTTTCCATGTCGTGCTCCTGGCGTGTTGAGTTGAACAGTAATAAGCTGAATACGAGGAGAAAACATGGCGACATACGGACATCATTAACAGCCGTCACACACGCTACTCTTGGGGACGGAAGGAGTATTCGTCCAAAATGAGCGGTGTGAAGCTTGCATTTCCCATCGCTGCACTAAAATCACATCCACACGTTTTTTAATACCTGTTCCGTCATTTTTGTCACGTTCGATACCTATTAATCCTCTTCATAGTGTTACCAAACACTACCATTGCACTGGAACAGCAAATGATGGAAAATGTTTTGAGTAAATTAACATACTGAAATGAAAATATAATTGAATAGAAAAAAATGTATAATCTATTCCTGTGTTCCAAAGGAACATTTGCTTTGTTTGGCACTCTGTAAAATCCTGCCTTTGTTGAGAATATGAATAGGTCTAACTTCAGACTTCTGACCTGAAATGCAAGCAAGCACTGGACTGGAACCTGGAGTAATCTCACACGAATTAGGCATTTCCTGTCATAAAGATGCATAAAATGGACACTTATTACTTCAAGACCTAGCGACTGTAATGGCTTCCTGTGGTTGTTAAAATCTAACTCCATGCCCAGAGATTCCTGCAAAGCCTCCCTGACAAGCTCTTAAACCAGGAAAATTACTATGTGACTGCAGCACTGTCACTGGCACCCAGAATATGCACCTTGTAGTCAGTCAGAGCCCTATTTGCATCACTCAATAGCACCTGCAGATACCAAATCGACCAAACAGCCTGGGCCTGAAGTGGGGGAACAGCCCGGGCAGAAAACACTGGAGAGGACATGCAAAGTGGGATTCAAACAGAGCTGTCAGAGGCACTCTCTGCACCTTCCCACCACCCTTCCACTATGTGTGTCTCATGTTCTGGTATTTTTCCCCCAGGATTGCCCTGAACGGCATCCCCACCTGCTGAAGCCCCAGAGACGGCCTGCATACCCTCCTCCAGCGTGGGACGTCTGAAAAGGGGCTGAAGCACAGACGCTGGCTTTAGGAGGCTTTTTATTCAGAAACAAAAACTGGAAATCTTTACGCTATATATAAATAACACAGGGACATCTTTCTGTGTCTGTCGCTCTCTGCCATATGAAGCCACATATACCTCAATGGCAGCCAAATCCTGCCCTTCACAGACAGAAACGTTCTGCGGGACCAAAGCGGTGAAGCTGTGCAGTTCAGGATCACGGCACGTATGACACCCCGGGGGCCGAAGCTCTTGAGTGTGATCAGTCTAAATGTCACCATCCGTCCCACAGCCAAAACATCCAAAAGGTAAATGAGCACAATGTTTGTGAGGCCGACTGCGGGGAACAGGGCCGCGTTATTCCCTGATCTGCGGGAGGACATACGCAAATCCAAACGGGATTGTTTGGCCGATGGGGATAGAGGGCAGTCAGCTTTGGCGCGGGGAAGGCGAGGGGCTGTGATTGGCTCTCGGTGTGGAGGCCGCTGATGACTGCGAGGTTGTCTTGTCAGTGTGTGCATCAAAGACCACTCGAAACGCCTCTGTCCTTGTCAAGGGGAGAGGAGTCAACTTCTCCTTTCATACTGCCCCCCCCACTCCCCAGCATTCTCAAAAGCCTGACATCCTGCTTCCCCCCCCCCCTCCACCCACTCCGTTTTCCCGATCGACACCCCGTCGTGCTTCGCGGCGGCGAGACGGGGCACTGGCCACGTGCAGGTCCGGCTGCGCTAAAAATAGGAGCGGGCCAGACGTGAGCTGCCTGTGTAACGGCGGTGCGGCGGGATGACGGATGGCGCCGGGGAGCGCGAGAGCCGCAGCGCCGCTGTCGGCGCCGGGGAAGCAGCAGGAAGGGCGAGGTGCCCCGTGAACACAGCCGACGCAGAGGCCAGCGATGGGAGAGCGGCAAGCTTCCTGAATCAGGTCGCCTCATTGACAGATTTAGGCATCCTGAAAATGAGGGAGAAAAACTGCAGGGGGCTTTTGAGAATGTCGACATATTTCAGAGTTATGCTCAAAGATTCCTGGAAAGCAGAAGCACAATGGGGAGAAGAATGGAGATCCAGAAAAAACACCCAGGGTGCCGAATAGTCCACATGACTTACTTGGAAGCACGTCTATCCACAGATAATTCAATCAGCCTGACGTCTGTCTGGAGCAGAAGCCAGAGTCCTCAAGTGTCACCAGGACCATGTGGAACCAAACGTGGCAGTTGGTGGCTTATCTGATGCCACACTCAGCTGATGGTTTGAGCCCCCCATCCCCTCACACATGGGCTGTGACTAAAAGCCAAACGTCCCCCTCGTTCTTTGTCAAGGAAGTTAATGTCCTGGCGGGCCTCAGTCACGCTGATCTGCTCGAAACCTGTGTTTTGTTCAATTAATATAATAAAAATCCAGAAAGTAATGTAATGTAACCTGGTGCAAAGCCTTGTGGGAAAGGGGACTGTGACTCTTTTACCAGAAGAAGAGGCTTTTGGTTTGCCTAGTTGCTGGGGTCCATTTGTTGCCTAATGCAGGGGTGCATTCTGCTCAGGTCAGACGATGTCTGTGTTTTTATGCTGCTATGTTAACACTTAGTCAAGAAAACAGAAGAGCAAACACAGCACCCCCCACCCACCAGAGCACACAAACAGGAGAATATCTGGCCAAACTTTACAATAATTTAACTTAAATACATTGAGAAAGTCACAGCGTGGACAGTTTGATTTACTTTGGTTCTACTTTGACTTGGACTGGTGAAGAGTCAACCACACACACACAACCACACACGCGCGCACATGTCGGGTATACCTATCCTTATGGGGCCCGCTCACTCACTTATATGGGAAAAATGCTAAAGATAACTATGACAACCTTAACCCCTACCCTGCTCTAACCATAACCATAAGTAACCTAACAAAATACAAGAGTTTTTGCATTTCTAGTTTTTTCATAGCAGTCACCGATTTTTATAATATAGAGTTTTCCCTTATGGGGACCAGGAAACCGGTCCCCATAAGGGAAAAAATGGATGTTTATCACGTTATGGGGACATTGTGTCCCCATAAGGATAAGTATACCCGCTCGCACACTCACACAGACACGCGCACACACACACACACACACACACACCTGACAGGCAAGGAATGACTTTGGGTCCCACCTGCAGTTTTGTTTTCTGTACAAACACATTTAATCAAATCAAAATTGAAAATCTTATTGCCAGTTCTCTGCTTACTGCCTGGGAGAACAGCAGAAATGACACATAAATTAAGGCTGAAGATTCTATCATGAAACTTAACAGCTCTTCACGAACGTTCTCACAAGTTTCATATCGTCTTTGCAGGGCACCGTGAGCGAGAGCTCCGCGATGAATCAGGCCGGAAAGAGAAGACAAATCTGTTTAAATTAAAGTTTTGTGACCGTAGTAAAGGTCCAAGAGTCACTAATAACTGGGTGTATCCTGAATGAAATGAAGATGGGAATAAGACTAAGGCGTTAATATAAAATCCCATTTCCCAGCAGCTCCTGAGTCATCGTAAGCCCTGCGCTGACCCTTACCTGCCCGCTCCAAGCTGCGCCTTGGCGGCTTTAAAAGCGGCTGAAGAAGAGCTCTTCTAAACCCAAAGAGGAACGCCTAAAGAATATTCCCATGAGCACAACTCGCAGCCAGCGACAGCCGTCCGTGCTCTAAAGAAGAAGTACCTTTCTGGAATCAATCCAGAAATGAATTAAGCACAAGACCAAAAAAAATTAGCATAAGCACAGCTGATGGGCCAGACCCTTGTATGGTGAAGTCGACTCCCGTTAAATGATGCGGCTTCAGCAACAACCCGGATATCAGACTCCTGAGTCTCGTCGGTGCCACCAGAACTTCACAGAACGGTACTGGGGCTCTCGGGAGGTCCCTCGGACACTTGTGTCACTGTGGTTACATTTAGACAGGTGGACCACTTAGGATGTGCGTGGACACATCCGTCACTGCGCTGGAACGTTCTACAGAACCGCTGTGATGTCCTGCTGCAGCGGGCAGGGGGGTTGTGTTACCAGGCTTCACGGTGTGCAGACAGATTCCCCCCCCCCACTCCAAGCTCGCCTCGGTGCCGGTCCAGACTCACAGGTACCCGCGTCTTGCCGAGTTTGACAGCACAAGAATAACTCCATCAAACAAACTCCAGCGCTCAGACCCCAGAACGTTCTGCACGCCCTTTCAAACTGCCGTCCCTTTAAGGAGCAGGCTGAAGGACCGGCTCGCGGGGGGGGGGGGGGGGGGGGGGGGGGGGGGGGGGGGCGGAGGCTGAGACCACTCACAGTTTGCTGCAGGTCCGGGATGCCTATGCGGATAACCACCGTGCTGCCCTGGGGCTCGTCCATGGGTCCGCCGTAGGTCACCGTCTCGGCCAGGGCGCAGACGTTGTCGTAGATGGGCTCGTCCCTGGAGCTGTCGGAGTCGGCCCGGTCGCCGTTGGCCGTGCACGGCTGCGTCTGCTGCTGCCGCTGCTGCGTCTGCACTGCCTCCTGCCTGCGCTGCTGCCCCGCTGGCTCATGTTTGCCGGCTGCCGGACTCAGAGGCATGCTCCGTGAGAGGGGTTCGGCCGCGCTCACTTCAGAGGGCTCTCATCGCCTCGCCGGGAGGGAGCAGCTGTGTGTGGGGGGGGGGGGGGGTTGTAGAGAAAGGAGCGGGGTTAGGCAAGGAAGAGAAACGGGGCCGAAAGTGATATAGGGAGAGCGGGCAAGAGATGGAACGGAGACAGCGAGACGATACAGGTGTTTTCTGGGGGGGTGGGGGGGGGGTCTGCAACTAAAAATGCAGTAAGAATGTATAAAAAGAGTGTCAAGGAGGAAAAAAACAGTATGGTCTGTTTCAGATAACGAGGAGGGAGGAATGAAAGATAAGCCCGGATTAGGGATAATGTGCAAAATAGCTTTATGTCCCTGTAGGCACTGCTGCCATCAGTATAATCAGGCTGAAATGTCATTAATCACCTTTCTTTTGTGCAGGCTCGTTATTTGTGGCCAATTTATTTTATAGTAATATATATGCAAATAGCAGGGCAAGCATAAGCAGGCTGATGAAAATGGCCACTGTGGATCTATAGCATATTATAGTAAAGCCGATACAGACATGTACAATCAGCCCATAACAGCCCATCATGGACGCCCAAACATTCGATTCGCCTGGGTGACATCGCGTGGCAAGAGTCGGTGCCACATCGATCCGGTGACGTGTCCGAACAAAGACGGCGAGAGTGATGGCCATATCGCTCACACTGAAAGGAAATATGCTTTTATAAGTAAATACGCTTTAAAATCGGCATTAGGCTTGCAATCCCATAAGCTTTTGCAAAGTGTTATAATTATCCCGCAACTAATGTTCTGCTCAGATTGAAGTAAACATTTTGAAATAATGAGAGATAATTTGGTTGAATTAATGTGCGAATCCATCCACAGGGACGTAATAAATAAACGTTCACGCCGGCATCCATTAAAAAGCCCTTCATTCCTCAGCCCATCACGAACGGCGATTCCACATTACGGTACGCATATACAGTCACATCAGGACCAAATGGCATTGCGATGGACCAGCATAGCCAATCAAGGGGGGGCGGGCTCCCATCTCGAGCATCACAGAATCCCCTCATGTCATGGTAGCATAGTCGGGCAGATTTCTGGCGAGGGCCACAGGCAGATCTCTTTCCATGAGCACGGGTTCGATAGCGTTCAGAAAAGGAGACTTGAGCTTTTAAGGAATTTAAGGGCTTGTCTTTAAAAATGCTTCATGGGGCCCCTGGTTCAAAACAGGGAGTTTGGGCCGACGCACAAGTGTAAATATGGGTCATGCGGTGAAAACGCAGCTCGAATCTCTCAGTTTATAAAGTTTTAATTAAAGCCAGCCAGCAAAGGGCTAAGACCACTTATACGGAGAGGAGAATAAAAGCCAAGGGCAGGATAAGGCAGGAGATAAACTGAAGCGATATGGAGGATGCTGTGAAAGAGCCGCTTTTTATTGACACGGCAACTTTACTGACACCTAAACAGCTCTGAGGGCTAAACATAGACTGAGGAATAAAGGGGGAGCAGTAGAGCCGCCCGGAGCCATACGGACAGCAGGAGTCTCTCATAGCGACGCAGGAGAGAAGGGGAAGTTTGGCTGGGCGATGGGCAGCATAAGGGAGCCAAGGCACAGGTGTTAGGACAGGAAACACCTCAGCGGTGTGGCTTTTTAAAGGCGACTGAGTTGTGACAAAGACTGACAAACCTACACATTAAAGGCATTTTTTAAATGCGTGGGACAGGAAGTCACCGAGAGACCTTGAACACCTTGAAATAGCCCAAAACACGGCATGTTTCATATGTGTTACATCATCTGAGATGTGATCTAACACAATCGCTGCAGTTAACGACACAGACACTAAGACCCCACAGGGTCTTAGTGTCTAGCAAACGTGGTTTGCCTAGCCGTAACGCAGGGACAGAGGCCATGCCCCCCTCCCTTGCCCTTTATCCTTCCTTGAGGTGGCACTATGACCGCCGCACGCCAAGGCGGAGAGCACCCCCCGCAAGCTAGCCCCCTCCAACACAACACGGAGACTCCATTGGCGAGAGCGGTGGGTGGAATGATAAGCAGCTTCCCAAAGGATCCGGGCTCAAGGAAGAAAGTGAATAATTCATATACGTAGCGCATATACAGAATTTATAGAATGCGTATGCATATTAACTGCCGGTTACTGGAGAAACGCCAGCGCGAGGAATACCAGGATCCGACAGCTCAAAGTGCTCGTCTGAGAAAAGAGCCACAGTTCCTTAACGTTCATGTCTCTGAGCTCTTATTGCGATCCTAGCATTCACCAGATTAACACAGCAATGCTTTCGGGTGCCCGGCGGCCCACTACCAAAAGCCAATCCAAAGACGGCCAGGCCTGTGGGCAGCGCGCCCACATCAGCAGGGAGCCATAAAGCAGAAGCACAGCTCGCTGACCCCGTGGCATGAACAGCGACAGTTTAACCTGCTCAGTAAACATCTCAGCTCTCTGGGATGTTCATTGTTTTGCTTGAAGGACTCAACCCAAGTTGCCATATGGAAAATATTAGCCAGCAGGTGGCGTAGTGGTTAAGGATCCAGGATACACTACCTACCAGCACATTATTGTTCCCAAGGGAGATAGTATTAATAGTTCAAGCTACAACAAACTGGGCATACAAAAAAAAGATGTACATGTTAATATACGACTAATAAAATACCAGTAATGTAATAAATTATAATATTTATAAATATTATACTATTTATGAATAATATAATAATAAATATAAACTACAAATTAGAGATGAAATACATCTTGCTAAGCACACTAAGCATGGCAAAGATGTGGGTGTCACTAATAATCATAGTGAACTAATAGTAGTTAAATGATAACTAACTAAAGTCTTAATTAAATTGCTCTGTGACAGGACTGTAATTCTGCTGATGCTGCATCACATGAATTACACAGACATCAGTGCTCGGGGGTGGGGGGGCAGTAATTCAGCTGGAGCTGTAAGGAGAGAACGTCTCATTACAGGCAATGTACAAGTTGTTTTCTAACTTTATAACCATGACCCACTGCAGTGGCTAAGCAGTCCCACTGCTCCCCTCGCTTGGAGGTGAGGACCAAACTCCGCCGTTAAGACCGTTGATGAAACAGATTCCCAGCAGCGATAAACCTGCCAACACTGTTTCGGCTGAGTTTGGCTGGGAGACAAGAAAGCAAATCGCAAGGAGATAACAGGGCTGGCACAAAAATTTCAAGAAATGACATGTTTGTGTGGCACCCTGCTTGGCGTCTCCCAGAAAGCGACGCTCCTCACTTCCCGGCTGCAACGCGGTCATTAATAATCATCGTGTGTCGAAGTTATGAGGCCATATGAGCAGCAGCTGGTGTCCCCGCCAGCAGAGGACCACAGGACTCACCCTTTCAGCTTGGTGAACATGGAGGCTGTGTGACCGGGATGCATGATGCCATGGGGATCCCCATAACATCAGTTCATTAGCGCCATTGATTCAAACACATGCCCATTGGTCAACACCTTAACAAAGACACTTCTTCACATGCAGCGCGATGGGGGTTTGCAGTGAGTGAACGCCAACACAAGAAACAAATCCTACTGCACGGCACTCATTTGTTAAGGATTTTAACGTCTGTGTTTTTACCACAGCTGCTTGTGGAGTATAAATGTCACGTGTCAACAGTGAAGCGGATTATAATTAATCATAGGGAACACAGTGCAGTTGAGACAGAAGCGTAGGGTAAGGAGCAATTTAAACAACCAATTTTCACATTTACTGATGTGTTTATAAAGAAGCATTTTTGCTGATGTTTAGGGGGGGGGAAACCTCTCGTTTTCTCTTCTACAGCTTTGACGAAGTCACAAAGTGCCTCCGTAGTTAAGGGTGTGCTAGTCTGTAAACTGTTGTCTTTTCATGAAAGTCACCTTGTAGGAAGCTGAAGAACATTTAAAGACATCAAATGATTTCTCAGTTGGACATCTAAAGACTGAAGGGAAGCTAATTCATCCCCCAACTTGCTCATTTAAATTGCCACTAGTCCTAAATACACTGCAACGTGCTGAATACTATTATAGATACCATATACACTGGTGACAGAGATATTGATTATGCTCTTAAATGGAATCAATTGCAATCAGGCATCAAGCATCATCTTTGTTTTCAGTTTCTGTTAGCTGCTTTCATGGTGACAGCCTATGACTATCCAATCCAGGATGCTCGCCAGAGCCTAAGGGCCAGATGGACACAGGTACGAATTCCGATATGCAAGATGCCATCCGGACGCGGTTTCCAGTGAGCCACAGATACTGTGCGAAGTGATTACTGCACTTGAGGAGCACAACTTTTCTTCCCTCAACCTTGAGCACCATCTTCCTCGTTTGTTGTTTTTAGCAGGCGGGCTTCAATTTCCGGATGCAAATCTGCTCTTCGCATGCAATCCCCTCCGACGTCTCTGTTTATTAGCTGGTGCTGCGACTCCGTTGTGCACAGGAGCATCTGACTTCACACTCGGACTGACAAGGAGGATGCGGAACGTAAGGCAGGACGGAGATGTCAGCGGCACTCGACAGGGCTTGGCCTCTGCCGGCCGGTCCCCAGAGTTTAGCTGCACTCGACAGGGCTTGGCCTCCATTGGGCCGGTCCCCGGAATCTAGCAGCACGAGGAGCAAATAATTAATGAACGGCTGGCGCTAAAAATAAGTCCGACATCACAGCCACGTAAGCCAGCATGCGGATGTGAATCAAAGCCACCGTTCAATTCTTGGCCAAGGCTGCTAGGGAGATCCTGCTGCGGGCAGCCTCACTGCACAATGCATCGTTACACAAGCTCCTCCTCTAATAGTCTCTTGCTTATAACAGCAATAAATACCAAATGAAATGCACCAGTCATAGCTGCTCATAATCACGAAACTTCCTGATATGTCGTAAGTGCCATTATTTTTTGTTTACATCATTCCTACCAAAGCATAACGATAAAGCAAAGATTGCTGAAAGGTTTTAAATTTTGTTCTGCTGAGCATCCTAAAAATAATGAGACGATAAAATCCTGACTTTGGGAAACAGACAGGTACATATTAGTATATTTATAAATATGTATA